CCTCCACTCTTCTCTTCTGATCCTAGCATCAAGAACAACAACGGTTAGTTTTTCTATTGGATTTGAATAAGAAATGAGAACCTGAACTTGGGTTACAACCAGTCTGCTCTTCTTTTCTCCTCCCACTATATTTCATTTCATCTCCTCCATTTCTCTCTCACTCTACCATTTTCAGCCGAATCCATTCTCCTCTTTCTTCTCTTCTTCTTTTTTCTTTCTATCCTCTCTTCTATCTTTTCTCTCTTTCTCCTTTCCTTTCTTTTCTTCTCTTCTCCTCTCGTTTTTTTTTTTTNAACCGACCAAGTCTGGTTTTAGTTCCTAAATCCTATGAATCGTTGAGTGCAGATTCGGGTCTAGGTCCTAGTCCAATTCCAAGGGATTGGACCAGTTACTCGAAACCGCTCACCCCTAAAAACAATAGAGATTGTGTGTGAGAGTGAAACTTGTCTGCATATTATGTTTTAAATATTTTGTTAATTATAATATAGTTTCTATTAACATAAATGAGTCAAAGTCAGTTGTGCTATACACTGGACTTATATAATAATCTATTGTTAGTGTCTATTAAGTCCATGTCATCATTCTCTTAGTGTGTTGAGTGAACTGTTGTTGTGTTTGTTCTGTTGTTTTAAGCCTCTTAACTTGAATATATAAACGACTCTACAGTCTGTTCTTTGGTGTATTCAGTTTTAATAAAATTGAGAGAATTTCCAGATTTCTAAACTTCTTTAGTCTCTCTAAGTTTTGACTTATTTGAATTTTGAAATTGACCTTATGTTAAAATTTTTAGTTTCTCCTAATCTAAAATGATAAAAAATACCAAGTATCAAACTTTCGTGAAATTGTCCCTAACATAAATATGAAATTTATTATTTAGCTTGTGAAAATGAACAGTGAGCAAGAACAAGAAATAGAGAGAGGAATTCGAGAAAATTCTAAAGTATCAAATCAGTATTTTATTTTCGTTTTTAACTGAATACTGAGAGGGAAGAGAGACTGCAATTATATGTTTGTTAACAACAATTGAACTTCAGGTCCTACTTTTGCTTGAAACGACAGCGTCCTGTATTATTGACAACCTAAGGTCAACTACTTCAACTTTTATAAAATTCTGCATCGACCCTTTAACTTTGCATGGTCAACATAACTAACATATTCAATTGGGTTTATAGTGTTAAATTTACGAATATGTATGCCACTCATTCATCGTATTGTACTAAATAATAAGGTCATTGTCATGCACTACTTGCTCATAGATATTAGAGCCGTGCTTGAATATTGACATGGGTTTCTCTTACTCATCTTAGTCTGATATCAAATTATTATAACAAAAAAGAAATATCGAAAAAATACAAACACAATACTGTTGTTATTATTAGTACAAAGTTGAACAGAAAATAATTATCATGGCTGTGTAAATTTACCTGAACGATCATAGAGCTGATAAAAGTCCCAAGAAGTAATTATGAGATCCCTTTCGGCCATTTTGGGGTTCACCATGGTACAATAAGTTTACCTTTGTTGACCAAATATTAATCTCTGGTCCTTTATAGAATGTGAAGATCATCGCCTCTCCTATTCCTATTATTGTACCCAAGATCTTGGCCTTTCCACTTCGAGTCCCTAGTCTGACATTCTCCATTCTGATCATGGAAAGGCACGAGACCATATGGTTATGAAATTGAAAATCAAATATATAATTTGTTAAAGTTAAATTACATGGCAATGGCTTTGCGATGAAGTGGACTACCAGAAACATAATATGCCCATAAGGCATCTTTGGGAGGACAAAAGAGATAATTAAAAAGAGTCAAAATATGTCCGTAAGATATCTTTAAGAGGACAAGAGAAGAATTGAAAGGGCAAGATAGACAATTGAAATGATCAGAATATATCTGAAAGATATCTGAAAGATATCTAAGAGGAATTTAATTTAATTGTATTGAGTTATTGTAAATTGTATGTGAATATTGATATAAAATATTATAATAATGATGAAATCTCTGCATCAAAGGAAATAGAAAAATATCTAAAATACAATAGAAATGAGAATAATATCACATATTCTCATTCTATATTTCCATGTCAACACATTCATTAAGCTCAAATTTAATTGAACAAGTTATAACTTGTTTTCAACTCTATGACCGGTTTTAGTTTGTTACCTTTAATTTCAACTTTGAAACGCCCGAATATGTGCGTAGCAGTTTACATCATACTATTTGAACTTGGAGTGGGAGTTTTATAAAAATCTTGAATTAATATTTGAACTATATACTGTATTTCAATAACAGTCATTGCAGAAATTAGCAGGGGTAGCTGTTGGAACCTTAAGAGTTAATAGGATTACGTTTATTAAAAAATAGATAAATTTTGTGATCTGCTTAAGATTTGTTGACCTTCATTATTCCAATTTCCATGTGAAATGGAAATGGAAAAGGATATAGATTTGTATGGTCAACAGTTGGTCAAAGACAATCAACGACCGGTCACAGGTGGTCAACGACCGGTCAATAGTAACCAACAAATGTCAGAGATTTACAAATACTTATTTCAATAATCATTAGTTATGAAATGATAAACATTGAAATAAAAATCTGAAAAGAAAAAAACATAGAAAATTGAAATTAAAAATAGGGTTAAAAATGAAATTTGTTGGATTTCTTACCCTTAAAATTATGATTCCTTATAAATTTTTGAGGCCCTAATTCAGTTAATAAATTAATATGAGAAAATAATGCAATTAGAAACAATATTATTTAAATCAATTAAGGTTCTAATCTCCCTAGGGCCTGCCTAGCCCCTTCCCGGCCTTTCGGGGCCCAAAATCCATGAAACTACAGCAATTGGGCACCCTTGTAGGTGAAAGGTGGCCGAAAGAAAATACAGCAATAGTTTGTTACCTAACTCTTGGCTTCAGGTTTGGAGCATTGAATTTATTGCTGAAACTACAATACGGAGTTTGGAGCTTCTTGTTGTTGCAACTGTTAATCAAGGTGCACTTTTCTGCCTCTCTGTACAATTTTTTGTCTCATTTGTTTTGGTTTTGGAATAGAGATGTTGTGAAATGCCTCTAGAGGGATCATTGTTTACTTTCTCTGTGCAAACAACACAATGAAGGACGCTTTAGATTCACATTGTAGGAATCATTTGGAAAGGCCTAAAATTTTCCTTCTCCTGATTCATGTAAGCATATTTGACACCATTTTTATATATCTAAACTTTAAAAAATGATGATCCTAAATCATTTCTGTCTCGCACATTTTGTACCTTTCTCCTGGATTTACATATGAGTCCACCAAATGATGAGAGAAAAGCCAAGTAAAACCAAGTAATGGACCTCTGTATATCCTGCTGAGGCAGAACAACCGGTGTGGGACACTTCGATTGATCTAAATAATTCATCAAGTTCTTTGTCTACAAAATTGTCTGGAGATATTAGTCTTTTAATGATGGAGAGCGAGAGAGACAAAACATTATAGTTCACAAAAAACTTATTTGATGGAGAAGACAGCTGTTGTTCCAATTTTGGTGCGATTCTAAACTCGGAAAAAAGGTGGACTTAAACAGAGAAACTTGTTACAGCCATAAAAGTGAGAGTTTTGAAGTTTGACGTTGAAACAGGTTGCTATGTTTATTCAGAGATTTCACCGATCCCTAATTCTTTAAATTTTTTTAAGAGAAAAGGACGTCATTTTTATCATGAGAATTCATTCTGGTTTCTAGGATGAAACATACTATTATAACTGAGAAAGAAACTATGATACTATGCCAGAATTGAGAGAACAAGAGAGACAATTGAAGAGAGTCGAAGTATGCCTGTGAGGTATCTTTGAGAGGGCAAGAGAGGCTATTTAAGAGAGCTAAAATATGCCCGTGAGATATCTTTAAGAGGACAAGAGAAGAATTGAAAGGCTAAGAGAGACAATTGAAAATATCAGAATGTACCCAAAAGATATTTAAGAGGAATTTAATTGTATTGTATTGAGTTATTGTAAATTGTATGTGAATATACAATCTATTTATACAAAAGTGTAATAATTATCTAATGATACAAAATATTATAATAATAGAAATAGAATAATATCTAAAATACAATAGAAATGAAAATAATGTCAAATATTCTCATTCTATATTCCCATGTCAACACATTCATTAAGCCCAAATTTAATTGAACAAGTTGTTATGACTTGTTTTCAACTCTATGACTGGTTTTATTTTGTTACCTTTAATTTCAACTTTGAAACGCCCAAATATGTGCGTAGCAATTTACATAATACTATTTGAACTTGGAGCGAGAGTTTTATAAAAATCTTGAATTAATATTTGAACTATATATTTCAATAACAGCCATTGCAGAAATTAGCAGGGGTAGCTGTTGGAACCTTAAGAGTTAATTAAAATCACGTTTATTAAAAAAAAGATAAATTTTATGATCTGCTTAAGATTTGTTGACCTTCATTATTCCATGTGAAATGGAAATGGAAAAGGATATAGATTTGTATGGTCAACAGTTGGTTAATGACAATCAACGACTGGTCAAAGGTGGTCAACGACCAATCAATAGTAATCAACAAATGTCAAAGATTTACAAATACTTATTTCAATAATCATTAATTATGAAATGATAAACATTGAAATAAAAATCTTGAAAAGAAAACAAAACATAGAAAATTGAAATTAAAAATAGGGTTAAAAACGAAATTTCATTGGATTTCTTACCCTTAAAATTATGATTCCTTACAAATTTTTGAGGCCCTAATTCAGTTAATAAATTAATATGAGAAGATAATGCAATTAGAAACAATATTAATTAAATCAATTAAGGTTCTAATCTCCCTAGGGCCTGCCTAGCCGTTCCCGGCCTTTCGAGGCCAAAATCCGATGAAACTACAGCAATTGGACACCCTTGTAGGTGAAAGGTAACTGAATGAAAATACGGCAGTAGTTGGTTACCCAACTCTTGGCTTCAGGTTTGGAGCATTGAATTTATTGCTGAACTACAATACAGAGTTTGGAGCTTCTAGTTGTTGCAACTGTTCATCAAGGTGCACTTTCTGCTTCTCTGTACAGTTTCTTGTCTCATTCGTTTTGGTTTTGGAATAGAGATGTTGTGAAATGCCTCTAGAGGGATCATTGTTTACTTTCTCTGCACAAACAACACAATGAAGGACGCTTTAGATTCACATTGTAGGAATCATTTGGAAAGGCCTAAAATTTTCCTTCTCCTAATTCATGTAAGCATATTTGACACCATTTTATATATCTAAACTTTAAAAAATGATGATCCTAAATCATTTCTGTCTCGCACATTTTGTACCTTTCTCCTGGATTTACAAATGAGTCCACCAATAGAATCCAACAAACATGCCTTTCTAAAGAACTAGTACAATTATCTGAATCAGCTTTATAAACATTTCCACAATACTTGCACCTTGCTTTCTTCACTTGAACTCCATTTTCTGTCTCGTAAAACTTCTCGAAATGCACCCAAACGTCTGATGTGTGTCTGTCTTCGGTTCCGACAGCAGTTGATGAACTTGCTTCTTGTTGAGATGAAGTTGGACGGGTACGACGATTACAANTATAAAAAACAAGAACTAACCTTTTATACCGATTATGTACAAGAACAATTAAAGGACTAATGTCTTTGAACACAATCTCTTCCCATTCTACAGTCTTGATATCTTTGATTGGGCGGATATAATTGTCATCTTGCCATACTATTTCGTTCTCACTATCATAATTCTCATTGTCATCATCCTTCTTCACATTCTTGATAGTAATCTTGTCAAAAAATTGACCGAGACTGAAACCCCATCCATCAGCATCTTCAGGCCAATCAGGATCATCCTCTTCCACCACAAGGGGGTAATCAGCCAGCAGCTTCTCCAACTTCTTCTTCCTTTCAATAGGGTCTATCTCCTCCTTAACATCAGGACACCGATCAATCACTTCTCTGATCTTTCTCCTCCATTCAAATCTCTCTTCAGGATCCATAAATGGGCTGTCATCCACATTATTTGTCATCGAGGAATCATCATCATCGTCTGCATCACTTGATTCTCCTCCTCCTTTCCTTCCAAGTTTTTCTACCAAAGATCTTACTGCCGTACTTCTTCTGAAACTACCTACCTGCCCTTTTCAGATAATTAAATTCCACAACAATGTACATAAATATAAACATATATTCACACTTATATACAGACAAAATATATGAAAATTTTAAAATATAAGGGATGCTCACCATGAATTGGTGAAAAACAACACACCCTTGGAGACAATTTAAGAGAGTTTGATATGAGACCAGTACACTCCATCTTTGGGGAAGAATCCTGAGTGTCACTTTGGCATTGAATTTTACCAGCAAATGACGGAGAATTTTTTAATCACTGGAAACTCGTTGTATACTGTAGCGCCATTTCACTACACTGTCCTGTTGATTACAAAATAAAACTATAAAACATCAAACAGACATATATAAGCAAGGAACAAAATATTTTCAAAAAGCAAATAAGACGAAGGACAATAAAAATTTTAAACAGAAACCTATCATCTGAGAAATGGGGGCTGATTCAACGTTCAATTATGGTTGCCACTAAAGTGAAAAAAAGAAACCTATCAAAATAGTAAATTTAATCAAATCACATTCAACTAGAAAATAGAACCCAATAACAATTTATTCCCATATCTAAAACTCGACAATGAATCAAAGAATCGTAAACATTTTCATATAAGACTAGTGGAAATCTAAATCATCTGAGAAATGGGGATTAATTTCAAGCTTAAACTATGGCTGCCCTGAAGAGAAAACAACAAACCCATCAAAGAAAAAAGTCGTTGAACCCATGTTTAATTAGCAAGTAAATTCAAATAACAAGTTTAACTTTTAAGCTGAAAATAGTTCAACTTTCCAACTAATTTACCTCAAGAAACAATTTTGAGCAAGTTAACATCAACATAATTGCATAAAGATTGATTTTCCCCAAAAGGGTATTGAAATAATCAAGAATAAACGAACTCTGTTCGTCAACTCACCAGTATAAAACTCTTATGCTCTGTTGAGTGGTTTCAAAGAATTATAAGAAACAAGCAACTGAGGAAAACTAAAGAAAACAACTAAAATGAGACGATAAGAGAAGAGAAGAGAAATGACTCACCACCCTCTTCTGCTTCTTTAGCTGCTGAAAACCCTCACTAAACCCATTCAAGCAACTAAAACAAGGCTAAGCCGCTCTGTTTTTGGATAGGGTTGGTTAGTGAGTGTGTGTCCATTCAAGTATTTAGTATCAAATAAGTATTTGAACCCGACCCCGACCCGCCAAATAACTGAATTCCAAACTTATCCGTTAAGAGATTTTATAAAAGATTATGCGATTTCTTAAGAATCAATTTACAGAATATTATTAGATTTTAATTAATTAATTAATTTTTTTTTGGATTTCCTTTATTTATATTCTCATAATCATAACAATCAAACCAAGTTTAATGCATATTAACTTTTGAAATAGTGCATGTACATGAAATAGTGTCACATAAAGTATTAAACTTGTAGCCGGATAACAATACTTTAACCATATGGGTGGGTTACCAAAGATAAAAAGAAAAGTCATAATTTTTGTAAATCTATCTAGTATTTATTCATTTGATTATTATCTTACCAAAACGTAATGCTATAAATTATGGAAATGAGCATTGGTAAGATCCTTCAGACCTCGTCAGAGGTCAGGTCAGATTCACAGACAATCGGATAAGGAGTTAGGGAGTGAGGGAGATGAGCATTTACATTGTCCAAGTCAAATTGCTTGAACTTCAATATGGGAAAAATTATGTCCTGCTTTCATACACTCTTCAGCTATTCAGAACCCTCCCTTTACAAACAAGAACAAGAAAGAGACAGGAGAGCAGAGCATTAAACTTTTACAAAATAACCCCAGTTAGACCTATCCACAACTAAAAATTTCATTTTTCATTGGAACATACAACTCAAAGAACATGATATACAGAAAAACAAACGGTGTAAATGTAATTCAACTAATGATCCTAAAAATGAAGTTAACGCGTATATGGCAAGTCAAATATCTTGGATTAATGGGAAGTTAATGACGGAAGAAGCCAAGTACAGAATCCAAGATTTGTTTGTCCCTTCAATCTTTGCAATGAGTATTCTACCATCATATTCCAGAGGTCCCCAACTGTCCATTCATGTGAAAGAATCCACTGTGTCACCTGTATTCTTCCAATGTCAAACGGATTTCATCGCTACACTAGACATATATATTTAGCAAATTAAGTTCATGCACTGAGAGAAGAATGTAATAGGCATCATGACATGATGGTATATAACATATAAGCACTTGAATTTACCTTGCAGCAAAATTTTTAGAAACATTGGCCAGATGATGGTGTAAAAATGATAAATGATGAAGAAATTGCAATAAAAAGAACAAGATAAATACCTGACCCAGGTTCTGTAATGCCTCTACACCAAATGTATAGTATGACATAAAAGGTCTTAATGCCTGAAAGAAAAATATTAATTTTTTTTCTATATATCAATGCCAAACAGAAACAAGAAATGAGCTAGGAGAAACACGCACCCAAAAAAGTAGAAACTTCCCAACAAAAATTAAGGTTTGGTCTGCTACCCCTTCCATCCAACACACAATATTAAATTGAGTATCTTGGTGATATATATGTATGAATATATAAGAAAATTTCATGAACTCCTATCAACTCTCACATACAAGAATAAATTCTTGCTAACCGGAATTTAAATCCGCAATGGAAAAAATCAAGAAGTTTGTAGGAGAGACGAACTATATATATATATATATAACATGCCTTTACAGTGTTCTTATAAGGAATTATTACCTGTGAAGCAGCAAGCCACTGAATCATGGCCTTCAGCTCAGGATCTCCCCCAAAAGCACCACATCCCCAATTCCCAGTCACAATCCCTGGAGAATCCTTATGTCTCAGAAACTGACAACTTTTCTGGTCAGAATTTCTCAGCATCAGATTTACAGATATTCCTTCATTTGTTTCAACACCAGTTGAGGAAGCTTCATGTAACTATCAAAATTTAAATTAAGAAAACAATTAAAAATTTAATCTTTGATTTACTGTACAGAAGCAAGATCAATTTATTCTACGTTTACAGAACATCAAATAACAGTGCATCAAATTAGAAAGCTAGTCCAACATGGCTGCCAACATCCAATTGACATGCTGAGAAGATTTTAAATTAAGAAAGCAAATCAGTAGGCAAAGTAACTAAGAACTCGCACTGAAAATTTATCCCTTGATATGTTGTCTTTATCCTTAGCTTCATGAGGTCCCACGTCTGGAAAAAGTCTCTCAGATTGACCAAATTTAGATTGATCCATAAACCCACAAAGTGCCTTATTTGTCTCCCTATCAAAAGAAACAAGTTGAAGTACATAATAATATTTGACTAACAAAGCGAAAAAATAAAGAAGAAAATCTGCAGATTTTAAAAACTGAGATGGCATAAACCCCTTTTACTTTTGTCTCATGTCTAATGCTTCTAGATATAGGAACAAACTGCATAAACCCATAAGAACAAAAGGAAGTCCTTTGAACCAGATGAAGTATGCAAGATGTGATTTGAAAGCAACATCACTCAACAAATCAGTCACTTGGATGAATATTCTGACCAATTTGAGGTTTCTAATGAAACTGATGTGTATTCCCTAATTAATTTGTCGTGTGTATTTGAGGTGTTCAAAACAAAAATTTACATACCGAATGAGGTATTTTAGTGCATATTGTTTCATTCTGGGCATGGATAATGCATCTATAGCAATTATCCTCGTTTTACGTCTCCGAAAAACATCAACATTCCTTTTATCCACATGATCACCAGAAAAACGAAATGACCGAGGCATACCTACAACATGTAAAGATGATACAATGATCAGATAATTAACTACAACACAAGTCGATTAAAAATAATTCTTGTACAGATGCTTGATTTAGCCAACTTTTAGGGATATAAAAGATTTAAATCATCTATGTATTATAACGAAAGGATGACAATCAAATAAAATGCCTAACCTAATACATGAAGACATAACATGTCAAGATAATATCTTGATATTCAGGTTTTATAATATTAATTTATGGAGAATTTCCAACTAAGACTCTTTATAATATAAAGGATTTCTAAATTAATTAGGTTTTACATTTATTTAGAATAGTCATAAGTGTACAAGAAGAATTAAAAAATTGTACTTTTTTGGCAAAGCACTATTTTAGTTTCAAAAAGCATTTGATTTTAGAAAAAAATTATTGTAACATCACACACAGTTGGAACTATGATAATACAGTTTATAGTCCTAAAACCTCACCCAGCAAACCCGTGTCCTTCAGCAAGAACCAAAAACTTCATTTTCGACATCTCTTATATTTATCTACGTATAGATAAGAAAACTATAAAGTCAGTAAACCATCCTATTATGTGTCTGTATCTCCATTGAATCAGGTCTTGGATTTACCAGTTCAATGTGTAAGACTTACCCATTATAGTCTGAGAATCTTTCTGCACCAACAATTTCTATAGCCTCATTGTCAGCCATGGAAGGCAAGAAAAGCATCCCAGCAATTAATTCTGGATTGATCATGAAACAGATCTCTTCCTACATAAGATCGTAATGATAATAAATATATTAAGAAATCATAGATTCTACAATTGAGTCGGACGCAAGAAGACAATGGCTCATGTGACACATGAGAAGGTAAATATTGCAGGAAAGCAACTTCAAAGAGAAGCATGCATGCCAAAGGAATAAATTCTTGGAAATTAAATTGAAATATTGGTGATGAAAAAAACCTAATTAGGCAGAAACCATGAAGGACTCCACAACCTTAATATTTAACAAGAAAATTTTACCTGCACACAGCCCCTATGAAGTGCACCACCTCCAATATACTTGTTTGCAAAATCCACTTGAAGAGCGTCGGTGGATTGATCTTCTATTGAGCCTAAACTGTAAGCTTACAAAGTATAAAATTGCCTTATCAACAGCTAAAATGTGTGAAACTAAACAAATAAAATTCAACACAGTAGATTATAGAAGTATCTTGAATAACCTCAAAAGGGCAGAGGGGTACGGCAGATTTGCTCCAAGCGTCAGCATCAAGATAAGGGATGAATAAAGGACGATAGTCTAAAGGAAGAACCTTCTGCTCAAATGAGACAGAGCCAACAGGCATACATGAGGATATCCTTTCAAAATAATGTACAATGCACTTTATTTTGTTTTCCTGATTTTCACTATAACTTTCATATAGACTCCTGAAAAAGATGAAAGTTTTACACTATTCATTTACTAGCTTTATAGAATTAAAAAATAAAGTTTT